TGACAGTGAAAACACGATGACCCAAAACCTATGGGACACAGCAAAAGCAGTTCTAAGAGGGAAGTTTATAGCAATTCAATCTCACCTCAAGAAATAAGAAAAATCTCAAGTAAACAATCTAACCCTACACTTACAACAACTAGAGAAAGAAGAACAAAGAAAACCGAAAGGCAGTAGCAGGAAAGAAATCATAAAGATCAGCAAAGAAATAAATGAAGTAGAAATGAAGAAAACAATAGCAAAGATCAGTAAAACTAAAAGCTGGTTTTTGAGAAGATAAACAAAATTGATAAACCCTTAGCCAGACTCATCATAAAAATAAGGGAGAAGATGCAAATCAATAAATTGAGAAAGGAGAAAGGAGAAATCACAACTGACACTGCAGAAAAACAAAGGATTATAAGAGACTACTACAAACGACTATATGCCAATAAAATGGACAACCATGAAGAAATGGACAAATTCTTGGAAAGGTACAATTTTCCAAGACTGAACCAGGAAGAATTAGAAAATATAAGCAGACCTATCACAAGTAATGAAATTGAAACCATAATTAAAAATCTTCCAACAAACAAAAGTCCAAGACCAGATGGCTTCACAGACGAATTCTATCAAACATTTAGAGAAGAGCTAACGCCGATCCTTCTCAAACTCTTCCAAAAAATTGCAGAGGGAGAAACATTCCCAAATTCATTCTGCGAAGCCACCATCACCCTGATACTGAAACCAGAAAAAGATAATCAGAAAAAAATGAAAATTATAGACCAGTATCACTGATGAAAATAGATGCAAAAATCCTCAACAAAATACTAGCAAACAGAATCCAACAGCACATTACAAGGATCGTACACCATGATAAGTGGGATTTATCCCAGGGATACAAGGATTCTTCAATATACGCAAATCAATCAATGTGATGCACCACATTAACAAATTTAAGAATAAAGACCATATGATCATCTCAATAGATGCAGAAAAAGCTTTTGACAAAATTCAACACCCATCTATGATAAAAACTCTCCAGAAAATGGGCAGAGAGGGAACCTACCTCAACATAATAAAGGCCATATATGACAAACCCACAGCAAGTAGCATACTCAGTGGTGAAAAACTGAAAGCATTTCCAGTAAGATCAGGAACAAGACAAGGATGTCCACTCTCGCCGCTCTTATTCAACATAGTTTTGGAAGTCTTAGCCACAACAATCAGAGAAGGAAAAGAAATAAAGGGAATCCAAATAGGAAAAGAAGAAGTAAAACTGTCACTGTTTGCAGATGACATGATACTATACGTAGAGAATCCTAAAGATGCCACCAGAAAACTTCTAGAGTTCATCAATGAATTTGGTAAGGTTACAGGATACAAAATTAATGCACAGAAATCTCTGGCATTCCTATACACCAACAACAAAAAATCGGAAAGAAAAATTAAGGAAACACTGTCATTTACCACAGCAACAAAAAGAACAAAAGTACCTAGGAATAAACCTGCCTAAGGAGGCGAAAGACTTGTATTCAGAAAACTGTAAAACACTGATGAAGGGAATCGAAGATGACATAAACAGATGGAGAAATATACCATGTTCTTGGGTTGGAAGAAGCAATACTCTGAAAATGACTATACTACCCAAAACAATCTACAGATTAAGTGCAGTGCATATCAAACTACCCATGGCATTCTTCACAGAATTAGAACAAAAAGTTTTACAATTCATATGGAAACACAAAAGACCCCGAAGAGCCAAAGCAATCTTGAGAAAGAAAAACAGAGTTGGAGGAATCAGGCTCCCTGACTTTAAACAATACCACAAAGCTACAGTAAGTAGTCAAGACAGTATGGTACTGGAACAAAAACAGAAATATAGATCAATGGTACAGGATAGAATGCCCAGAGATAAACCCATGCCCATATGGGCACCTAATTTACGACAAAGGAGGCAAGAACATACGATGGGGAAAAGGCAGCCTCTTCAATAAGCGGTCCTGGGAAAACTGGACAGCTACATGTAAAATACTGAAATTAGAACACTACCTAACACCATACACAAAAATAAACTCCAGATGGATTAAAGACTTAAACGTAAGACCAGACACTGTATAAAACTCTTAGAGGAAAACATAGGAAAAACACTCTTTGACATAAACCACAGCAAGATCGTTTTTGACCCACCTCCTATAGTAACAGAAATAAAAACAAAACTAAACAAATGGGACTTAATTAAACTTAAAAGCTTTTGCACAGCAAAGGAAACCTTAAACCAGTCAAAAAGACAGCTCTCGGGGCTTCCCTGGTGGCGCAGTGGTTGAGAGTCCGCCTGCCGATGCGGGGGACACGGGTTCGTGCCCCGGTCTGGGAAGATCCCACATGCCGTGGGGCGGCTAGGCCCATGAGCCATGGCCGCTGAGCCTGCGTGTCCGGAGCCTGTGCTCCGCAACGGGAGAGGCCACGACAGTGAGAGGCCTGCCCACCGCAAAAAAAAAAAAAAAAAAAAAAAAAAAATACAGCCCTCAGAATGGGAGAAAATATTTTCAAATGAAACAGCAGACAAAGGATTAATCTCCACAATATACAAACAGCTCATGGAGCTCAATCTCAAACACTCCAGTTAAAAAAATGGGAGGAAGACCTAAACAGACATTTCACCAAGGAAGACATACAAATGGCCAAGAGGTACATGAAAAGATGCTCAACATCACTAATTATTAGAGAAATGCAAATCAAAACTGCAATGAGGTATCATCTCATGCTGGTCATAATGACCATTATCAAAAAATCTAGAAACAACAGATGCTGGAAAGGGTATGGTGAAAAGGGAGCCCTCCTGCACTGTTGGTGAGAATGTAAATTGATACAGCCACTATGGAAAACTGTATGAAGTTTCTTTAAAAACTAAGAATAGAACTACCGTATGACCCAGCAATCCCACTGCTGGGCATATACCCTGAGGAAACCGTAATTCAAAAAGGGTCATGTACCACAGTGTTCATTGCAGCACTATTTACAGTAGCCAGGACATGGAACCAACCTAAATGTCCCTCGACAGATGAATGGGTAAAGAAGGTGTGGCACATATAGGCAATGGAATATTACTCAGCCATAAAAAGAAACGAAGTTGATTATTTGTAGTGAGGTAGGTGGACCTAGAGTCTGTCATACAGAGTTAAGTAAGACAGAGAAAAAGAAATACCGTATGCTAACGCATATATATGGAATCTAAAAAAAAAAAAATGGTACTGATGAACCTAGTTGCAGGGCAGGAATAAAGAGGTAGACATAGAGAATGGACTTGAGGACATGGGATGGGAGGGGGAAGCTGGGCGAAGTGAGAGTAGCATCTCCATATATACACTACCGAATGTAAAATAGTTGGCTGGTGGAAAGCAGCAGCGTGGCACAGGGAGATTGGATCCGTGCTTTGCGATGACCTAGATGGGTGGGATAAGGAGGATGGGAGTCAGGCTCAAGAGGGAGAGTATATGGGGACATGTGTATGCATATGGCTGATTCACTTTGTTGTGCAACAGAAACTAACACAGTATTGTGAAGCAGTTATACTCCAATAAAGATATATTAAAAAATAAATAAAATAAAATAAAATATTGGCTATATCCCATGTCATACAATATATTCTTGTAGCTTATTTATTTTATATGTAGTAATCTATACCTCTTAACCCCCTACCCCTTTCTTGCCAAAAGGGAATTTCTTGAAACTGAAATTTATTAACTCTAAAGAGAAGTTGCTGACTAATTCCTGTTCACTAATTCAGTGTTGTAGAGACAGCAGGTGGGAACTAGAACTCAGTAGTGTGGTTCACTATTTACTGACTCCCCACTGTTATGTGTCACGTAGCACTGTGCTAAGAACAGGAGGTGCAAATGTGTGTAAGAGATAGTCTCTCTCTTCCAAGAGCTTCAGGCTAATGAGGAGATGGACAGTAAAAAGATAATTTCAATATGGTGTGATTATATTCTTTGATACAGGTTGAAAATTAATACATGTTCATAGAGAAGGAAATCTGAGATTAGGGACCAGGTCTACTGACATAGAGTAAAAAATATCCAAAGCAGTGAATTTTTACCACTTGAGTCATTAAAAATTGGTAACATAATTTGCAGTGCTTTTTAAAAGTATAGATTAAAATTAGTTTAGTTAAAAATTGAAATATAATGGCAGTTATTTAAAATTGATACAGAAATGAAATGTGTCTTAGGCTGAATAACTGTCTTATGAGGGACACAAATAAATCACTAACTTAAATAATCATAGATAATTATGAAGGATTAAAACTAATTCCATTTTTTAAAGGAGAAGGGAGTTTGGTTTTAGCAATTAAAATAGTAACAAAACACTGAGGCAAATATTAATAGAAATATTTAATTACTTAGGGAGTAAAAATAATGTGCATACTATGGGGTTGTTTTTTATATATTTATAAAACAACAGACAAACATGATTACTTTCCTTAGACATTACTAGATAAGAAGAGGAAGTCTGGAGAATAAATCTAATTTATTCTTATTTTAGCAGAGTACTTGGTAGTCTAATTTTACCTAAAAATTAATTTAAGTTGTTTTGGATATTTGCAGTATTTATTTGATTAAGAGCTGAGTGAAGTGCAGTACCATAGAAAGCACAGATACAGAATTATATTGGTGATTTTAGACAATGAATTTAGAAAGTAAAATTGCTAAGTGCTGCATATGCTGTGTGTGTATGTATGTTTCAGGAGAGATTTAAATTTTATTATTCTTTCCTCAGAATAATTATTCCTTACTTTTACTGATTAGTTTGTTACCTAAAAAGGGAAAATTTTGGACTAAAGCATTATTATCTAAAAGTTCAATAATATTCTTTTCTTCTTTAGATATTTGAATGAAGCAAAGATTTATTTTACATTGTAATTTTCATTTAAGTTGATGTTTAGGTGAAGGTGATTTTTTTAAAATAATGTGTAGCAAAGTCTGAGATGCATGGTAATTCTGTGTTTTATTTTTCAGAAAGAATTCTTTGTGGAACTTGGCCTAACTGCAGGGCAGCTTGGTATAGATGACTCTACACAAGTGCCTCCTGGTTAGTATTTCTCCCATATGGCATATACTAAATGAAAATGAGAGTGAGGTTAAGGTTTATCTTGCCATTTCCAATTTAATCTAGTAACTTTTTTAATATCTGACAACTAACATGCTTTTTGCCTCTCCTTGGTTACTATTAATTATTGAATAGAATCTTGTATGTTACAATTAATAGAGTTCAACTAGATTTTTGTCTTTTTATTTGAGGGTCTTTAAAATAATTTTGAAAACTCATTAGACATATGTAAGTCATTTTGTTGGCAAAATTCTAAAAGAATGGCTCAATAAATTTTCATGAGTTAGACACACCTAATTAAGTTACCACCCAGATCAATAAACTGAAGCCCCTTCCTACTATCTTTCAATCTTTATCCCCTGTGTCAAGGATAACCACTGTTTTTACTGTTCAGGTCTCATCTCTTGCCTCCTCACACTGTCTGTCCCTCCCCCTCCTGCTACTCCCATCCCCACTTCCACACATATGTATGTTCTCTCTCTAATCATACTTGAGAAACTGCTGCAAATTTTTCAAGTGTCCAGATTGATGGCTCTGCCTCCTCTAAATCTTCTGCATCATGATCATCACCATCACCATCATCTTTAGAGGATTTCAGCAGATCTTCAAGTTCCTTGTTGGTAAGGGTTTCTCTATGCTCTTCTGTGTGTTCCTCAACATTGTCTTCAATCATGTCAGAGAAGCCTTCCCCACCAAACTTCCCCTGCAACATTCAAAATACTACTGACTTCTGCATCAGTAGTGGAGAAGCCCCTGAAATCACTGATCACCTCACTCCAGAACTGCCTCCAGCATGCATCGGCGGTCTCAGGACTTAAGGCATCTACAGCCTCTGCAGGAAGCAAAACTGCACCTGCAGTTGTGAAGCTCTTTCATAAATCGATAATGCTGCTCAGTCAGGGTTGGCATCAGGGGCAGCACGAAACGTCCTAAAGGCGAGGTAGGTGTTAATTCACCTCAGTGCGCTGCTGCAGGAGACAGGAACATCACGTCCACATTCTCGCCAGTGAAGCAGAGAGTGTTGTCAGTTATGAGGAGGACCTTGAATGGCAGCCCCTTCTCTTCATCCCTTTACTTCAGGAATGAAACACTGATGGAACCTCTCCAAGAACAAAATGGCCATTGCCCAAGCCTTCTTGTATTGCTAGAACATAGGCAGGCAATTTTTGTTTTTGTTCTTAAGGGCCTGGCGATTGCTTGCTCAGTAGATGAGGCCTGGCTTGATCACGTGACCTGTTGCATTGCCACACAGCACCAGCCTAAGGTGATCTTTCCAGGCCCTGAACCCTGGGGCCTACTTTGCTGAATGGAACAAGCCCATTTCATCACAATTGAAGATTTGCTCTGGAAGGTAGCCTTTTCTCTTCTATAAGATTTTTGAGCTCTTCTGAGAACCCTGAAGCTGCCTTGGCATCAGCCAATGCTGATTCTCCCATGATCTCTAAGTTCTTGAGGCTGTAGCACTTTACATAGTTAGCCAGCCATCCCTTATGAGCCTTAAACTCCTTCATTCTCCTCAACCCCATCACAGTAGTATTCACAGAGGCTAAGTGCTTTTTCACACATCATTTTGCCGTGAACAGGGATGTGCTTCTGTGACATGTCCTCCAGCCACATACTTGACACCTTTGCGAGCATTTTGTCATGAATGAGAGACCATTTTTGCTGTTGTAGGGGCAGCACAAACACTTCCACAAATTTCAGCTTCTTTCTGCTTTATTTTGCAAATGCTCAATTTGTTCTTACTGACCTTATGGCCCCCCTTGGCAAGAAATATGCCGCTTTTCAAAAGATCTAAGATTTTAATTTTCTTGTTGAGAGATAGCACTTAACGCTCCCTCTTAGCCTTTGAGGGATTGTTTAGCTTTTTAAAAAATTATTATTATTATTATTTTTAACATCTTTATTGGAGTATAATTGCTTTACATAGCTTTTGAGGGATTGTTTTGACCACTTAATTGCTCTTTAGGAGCCATTTTTTCACAGAAACAAAGGGTGCACACAACGTAAGTGACAAATAAACGAGACACAAGGTGAACAATACTCAAACACAAGTGCTGGAGACTGAGGATCCATGAAATGGCGGGAGACTACAGCAGGGTATGCCAACACATCAGTTCATTCACACAGATTCAGTGTAGTGCTTGGCACACAGCAAATTCAAGTTTTGCTTTTTTGAACTTTCTGGAATATTTTTTCAAATGTTTTCAATCCGTGGTTGGTTGAATCCACAGACATAGGGGGCTGACTATTATCAATAGCGCTTCTGTGCATATTCTTGTGTAAGTCTCCTGGTGCACATAGGTATAAGATGCGCACCTGAGAGCGATGTGCTGCTATCATAGGGCGTGCATATATTCAGTGTTAGTAGATGTTGCCAAACAGTTTTCCAAGATGGCTGTACTGATTTACACTCCTACCACCTTTGTATGAGAAGCTCATTTGCTCCATTTCCTTTGCATTTAGAATTGTCAGTCTTTTTCATTTTAGCCATTGTGATGGGTGTGTATTTCATAATGGTTTTAGTTGCATTTCTCTGGTGACTGATGTGGTTGGGCATCTTTTCATATGTTTATTGGTCCTTTGTATTACCTCTTTTGTAAAGAACCTGTTCACAGCTTCTGCCTATTTGTGTCAGATAGTTGTCTTTTTTAAATTGACTTACCGGGAGTGCTTTACATGTTCTAAGTACAAGTCCTTTGCTGGATACATGTATTGCAAATACAGTCTTCCACTCTGTGACTTACCTTTTCACTCTCAGTGGTATCTTTTGATGAACAGATGTTTCTTGGTTTTAATATGATCTAGTTTAGGAGGTTATTTCCATTATGATTGGTACTTTAAAAACAAATCTTTGGGGCTTCCCTGGTGGCGCAGTGGTTGAGTGTCCGCCTGCCGATGCAGGGGACACGGGTTCGTGCCCCGGTCCGGGAAGATCCCACATGCAGCGGAGCGACTGGGCCCGTGAGCCATGGCCGCTGAGACTGTGCGTCCGGAGCCTGTGCTCCGCAACGGAAGAGGCCACAACAGTGAGAGGCCCGCGTACCGCAAAAACAAACAAACAAAAAACAAATCTTTGTTTCTCCCATAAAGTCTTTTTAAATGGCATTTGTATAGTGGGATTTCCTATAAAGTATTAAGGCTTTTATTAGATTTGCTTTCATGGTAGATTAGAGTAGAAGTAGGGATTTGCAAATAAAGCTATCAATAAGTTTTGTTTTGTTTTTAGGAAAAAAAAGTCAAAGATGAATGGACAAACATTTGTGTTGTGAGAAGATATTCTGTATTATTTTAACAAAGAAAATTAGTTTATTAATCTTCTCCTCTGATTAAATATACTTCCTTTTCATTTCTACAAACTTGAAATAACTTAGAAAAAAGATTTTTCCACATATAAAGATAAATATTCTTATAGTTTCCTGGAGAGCCATTCAGCTTTGAAAATAATTAAAAGCATCAACACCAGAAAACATTTACATAATGTTATTCTAAATGTGGCTGATTATATTTGTGTCTAATAATTTTATTTATTATTTTTAGAACTTTTTGAAAATGAGCATGTACGTATTGGGCAAAAAGGTAAGCTTTTGATTATACTTATTTTAATTTCTGAAAATGAGATAGTCTCAAGTAAATGTCTGTATCGTATACCCTCAACTGAAATTTAATCTCCGAGAAGCTAAAGACCTAAAAAGGAATAAAATTTAACAATGTAAATAAAACTATGGGAATCTTTATAAAGAGGGGAAATGCATCAATTTGGTTTTATCAGTAAATGTCAGGTAAAGAAGTACACAGATGGTTCACTAAAAAGGAAATGATAAATGCAGGCACGCATTTCTCAAGGATATTAGCTTAATCCATTCAACAGTAGAATTTCATTTTAAAATCAAAGAGCCAGGTTCTCTCTTTGATCTGCCCACACCCTTCTCATTAGTGTTAATAGGAATATGCTCCTGCATCAGGAGAAAATAATAGCTGTCACACTTCCCAGCGACTGTTCACCATGGTAGGGCTTAATAACTGAAGCAGCTGTTAGCGTTCTGGAGAATAAATTTTCCCCATTTTTTTAAGATTCTTTTCCTTATTTTTATAAATACTGTTTTGTCTTTGAAATATGAAGTGCAGGTAAGTCTTTGTGTCAGAATAAACCTTCTATGGCAATTATATTATCATGTTCTAAACTCCCTAGTTCAATTTTTCAGAATCCTATTTATTTAGAAGACTGCATTTGTATGATTTGATATTTTCATTAAACACAATTGCAGGTTATCATGTGGCCCCTTTGTTTCATTCTCATTTAGTGTAAGATTTTTTTCCTTTTTCTTTTAAGAAGAAAATATAAGAAAACAAAACTGTTTGACAAATATCAGCAGTTGTCTAGTATTTCTTCTTTTGTTTTTATTTTTTGGTTTTGTTTGTTTGTTTTGGAGGGGGGCTTAATTTGCAGACTTAATAATAGCTAGTATTTTCATTAACATAAAGATGAAAACAAAAGGATAATATATTAATTTTGTGAACTTGACTGCTTATGAATAATTTTTGGCCTTTTTAAAAGGTTATCAGATCTTTTTTGTTTTTACTTCTTTAAAAATCCCTCTTTTCTGTTGATTTTGGCAGATAGCTAAAAAGTCATCGAATAGAATGGATATCTACATTCTTTAGAATTCTCAGTCATAATACTTCAAATAGCATACCACTTCCAAATACTAGAACATTCATGACTTAGTAGAATATGCATAAGAAATTTAGGGTTTCTGTAGCTATGACTTCATGTGATCATGAAATCCAAAAATTATTCTATATATGCATCACAAGTTTCACATCCATGGAGCTATAGTTAAAGCACAGTGAAATCAAGGTACCTACATTAAAAACTTTCACCTAGTGGGGTAGGAGGTGGAGGAGCTTACAGCTTGAAACTTACAGGGCTGTAAATAAGGCCACATCAAAAATCTGAGAGTAAAAGAAGATTGTCAAGATATGATGCAATTATGTTAGACATAAAGATGAAATGTTAGCTTCCCAAAAGATTTTTAAAGATTTCAATGTTATTTCTTACATTATAAATTTTCTAATGAGATTTTAATATACTTTTGACAGTTCTATCAGAACAAGATAGTGCTGCTGCTCAACAGTATATCAGACAAGGAAGTCCCACAGCACTGAGAGCTGAATTATGGGCTCTCATTTTGAATATTTCCAGCCAACCTGAGGTAAGAAGAAAAAGGATGGGCCAGATTTGATATTTGTTTTTCAAAGACCTGCATTCAAAGTAGAAATATTTTTTTCTTAGTCTAATATTTACTTCCTTTTTAATTTTCAAATTCACTGTAGTTTAGAGTTCTAAGATAAGATTGACATATAATTTAATCACTGTGTGCTTAACATAGACGTTTTTGTTATTAATAATTAGTTGGATAGTGTGAACCTATACATACAACAGAACAATAAGTAAAATCTTAAGAAGTGGAGTCACCAATCCAGATCAGTGAAGATGTGTGGTAGAACTGGGAGTTATAATAGGGAGAAATAAAGATGGACAGCTCGATATATGTAAATGACTATTTTGTCCCTACAGTTACTTTCAAAATATGCATGATTTTTAATGGGCTTAAAAATTGACAGATTATGTGGGAATGTTATTTTTCTAAGTATAAGAACATCTTATTTTAGGAAATAAAATGAATATGAAGAGAAATCACCAACAGACAGGTAATAGATTAAATAAAGAAACAAGTGTAAGATATTGATTCTTTTTGAAATATTTTGGAGATTTTTTTTTTTTCTGAAGCCCACTGATCCTATAAGTCATCTATTTAAAGATTTTAATAAATAGCAAACTAATAGTTCCCTAACCTAGCAGTTAAAAACATGGGTTTTGTTTAGAATCATATGACCTAGTTTCAACTCCTAGCTCCCTCAACTTATTTGAAATAAGACATTGAGTGAGTTAAATTTCTTCAAACTGCAACTTACCCATACTTAGATATAGGTAATAATTTTTATATCCCAGTGTGGTTGAAAGAATTAAATGAAATCTATGTGAGTCTTTTATTAACACAGTACTTGATATAACAGGTCACCATTGATGGTAGCAATAGTAATTACATATTACATGTAATTATGTTATAAATTAATTATAATTTATAATAATGCAGTTTTTAAGAAAATCGAGCATTATTAACATATATTATAAAAACTACACCTGTAACCTTTGCAAATTATGTATGCATGCTTGTGTGTGTGTGTGTGTGTGTGTGTGTGTGTGTGTGTGTTTTAAATCTCCTGCTCTGAACAGCACTATCAAAAATCACTTGCTTCCTTTTTGAAAGAATAAACCTTGTGATTTATTTTAGAGCAGTTTTAAACCAAATGATACTACTGATGTTTTGAGGTGACACTTTAAAAGTAACAGTTTACAAAACAGTTTTGAGTGTATGCTGGGCATTTTTTGTGAGTGTATCAACTCTTGTAGAAGAGGTAGTAATTCTTGTCCTGACCTGTGTAGATGACCTACCAACTTCGCTGATCAGGAGCTAAGTTAGCAAGTCCTGTCTCTGCAGAGGAGCTAACTACTACCATTTCAAAAATAGATTTAGAATTTTTCCAGAAGTATAGTTGTAGAATAAAAGTAGTAATCCCAGATAATGATTGTATAAAGTTCAAAGGCAGTTTTTACACTTGAATTCTGGAGTTAAGTTATCTTGATTTTCTATATTCAAAATGGCAAATTTGTAAATAGAAATTAATATTATCAGAAGGCAATCTTGATTTTATTGAATAAAACATTTTCTATCTCTTACACTTATTTTCACTGTAAATGTGTGACCTGAACAAACTATAGCGGTTCCGAAATAATTGTTGTAGGTGGTACGTTAGAGGGTGGAGGGGGAGAGAGCGAGAGACAGAGAGAGGGAGAATACTTACTTCTTATGAAGAATACTTTATCAGAACTTTTTGTTCAATTACTTTTCAGTCACTTAAAATAAGCTACACATACAAATGCATCATAGTTGAGGAGTTAGATAAATGGAGTATTTCAAATTTCACACTCATAAAGCTATTTTTAAAATCTTACCTCAATAGAAAGACTTGGGATTTAGTGCTTTAAGTTCCTAGCAGTTAATTTATTTAGTACTTTTACTAGAACATTATTTAACTTTGATTTTTTTCTCTTTTTAAGAAAATATGTGATAAGTTTAAAAGAATTGCTTTTATATATTTTCTTTTCTACAGCTCTCTAGATCTCTGGATCAAAATATCCATATTTAGTGAACATTCATATTTAAATTTTTTTGCTTAATTTCAGTTTGCTAATTAAAAGTAGAAAATTGTCTTATACTTTGCTCTAGGTTCTTGCTTACTGATAAGATAGCCAAGATGAGTATAAACATTTAATATTTCCTTTAGTGATTTCACAATAAGGTTCTCCACAACCTGACCTAAAGGTCTGCAATAATGCCTGACCATCCTAGATCTTTCTGGTCAGCTCACCTAGTCTTCCCAGTGCCTGTTTCCGTCCTTCACTCTCCTCAGCCGCTTATTTCCAGAGTCTTAGCAAAAGATCTCACCTTCTCCTAACCAGAGAAAACAGAAGTCATCAGAAGGAACTCATTCAAATTCCTTCCACCAAACCTGTAAACTTACTTGCATCAGCACCTGTTCTTGCCTCTACTTTTACATCTAAACCTTGTGCAAGAAAAGTCTATGCTAGATGCTCCTACTTCCTTAATCCCATTAATCACTCAGTCTACCATAGTCTGGCATACACCCCACTACATGACTATAACTGTCCTGGCTAAAGTTACCAAGGAACAGTGGATACATTTTAGTCTTTACATCTACTGCATTTGATACTATTATCTATTCTGCCCTTGAAATATTCTTGGTCTTTAATTTAGTTCATCCTGTTTTCTTAGTTCTTCTTTCCCTCTTTTTCTTTTTTTCTTTTTTTTTAAGTCTGCGTTTGGGTTCGCCTGCTAGACCTCAAGTGCTTGTATTTCTCAGAATTCAATTTTGATCCTCTTCTCACCCTGCACATTTTCCCTGGACTGTCTCATCCACAGTCACCTTTTCCATAATGGCTTCAACCCTGTTTTCAACCAAACTTTGTCTTAAGCCTAAAACTTTTATTTCCACTTTCCTGCAGAACTCTAATACATGGTCTGAAAGTGTATCAGACTCATGATATCTAAAAGAAAAGGTATAACCTTTACCTCAATTTATTTGTGGTCATCCAAGAGATGCTGAATTATTTCTCTTTCCACCTGGAAAAAAAGAAACCTTGTCAGACTTTTGTCTTCTTGGATAGTCTACTTTTCTTTCACGTGCAGTTTATTCCATCACCTTTTCTGAGAAGCCTTCCTAATATCTCCTCTACCTTGTCTTCTCCCAACTCCATCACTGCTACTCTTAGATACTTCCTTCATTTTTCTCCCACCATAGCCAGTGCAGGAGCAAAGACCTAAAGACAGAGAAACATATACCATACTTCTTACTTTATTTGGCTGCCTCCCTTTCTAGATTGAGGACCTGAGGACAGGGATTTTTTTCTTCTTCATCATCTGTAAAGTCAGTATCTTGTACAGCGTCTAGAAATGGTCAGCTCATCTAAATGCTTAATGAACAATTAAGTATAAACTGTTAGGAATGTTCTGTGAGTTCTTTGACTTCCTGAGAGTATATTTCCTTTTTTCTTTAGTTAAAGAGATAGTGTAGGTCTGCATAAAATATAAAATAGATACATATACTAAAATGTAAATATTCTCTGATGCTAAAAATTTGGGCTATTTTGCTTTTCAAAGATTGCTTTTTATAATCATAATTTATTACTGTTAAATATCTTTTTTGCCAAAGCTTATACAAAATACTCTTGAAATATCCTATTATATTATTGGTAATTGTTATATTTTATAAATTCTTGTTTTATAATATCTTTGGTATTAGGGTAATGCTGGCCTCATAGAATGAATTAAGAAGTATTCCCTCTGCTTCTGTCCTCTGAAGGAGATTGTAGAATACTGGCAGAATTTCTTCCTTAAATGTTTGGTAGAATTCACCAATGAGGCCCTCTGGGCCTGGTACTGTCTGTTTTAGACACTTATTAATTATTAAATCAATTACTTTAATAGATGTAGGCCTATTTCAATTGTCTGTTTCTTCTTGTGTGAGTTTCAGCAAATTCTGTCTTGTTCAAGTAATTGATCCATTTCATCTAGGTTATCAAATTTGTGGGCAGAGAATTGTTCATAGTATACCTTTATTATCCTTTTAATGTCCATAGGATCTATAGTGATGTACCCTCTTTCATTTCTGATTTGGGTAATTTGTGTCCTTTCTCTTTTTTTTTTTAGTTAGCCTGGCTAAAGGCACATTCGTTTTATTGATCTTTTCAAAGAACTAGCTTTTTGTTTCAATTATTTTTCTCTATTGATTTCCTGTTTTCAATTTCATTTATTTCTGCTCTAATTCCTATCATTTCTCTTCTTCTGCTTACTTTCAATTTAATTTGTTCTTCTTTTTCTAGTTTCCTAAGGTGGAAACTTAGATTATTGATTTTTAGATCTTTCTTGTTTTCTAATTTATGCATGCATTCAATTCTATAAATTTCCATCTAAGCACTGCTTTTACTACATCCCACAAATTTTAATAAGTTACCTTTTCATTTAGTTCAAAATATTTTTAACTTTCTCTTGAGATTTCTTCTTTGACCCATGTGTTATTTAGAAGTATGTTGTTTAATCTCCCTGTATTTGGGGATTTTCCAGTTATCTTTTTGTTATTGATTTCTAGTTTAATTCCACTGTGGTCTGAGAGCAGACATTGTGTGATTTCTATTCTTTTAAATTTGTTAAGGCTATGTTTTATGACCCAGAATGTGATCTATCTTAGTGAATGTTCCATGTGAGTTTGAGAAGAATGTGTATTCTACTGTTACTGGATAAAGTAGTGTACAGGTGTCCATCATATCCAGTTGATTGATGGTGTTGTTGAGTTCAACTTCAACCTTATTGATTTTCTGCCTGCTGAATCTATTTCTGATAGGGAGGTGTTGGAGTTTTATTTCAATTGGAAATGCATGGTTTATTTAATAAATGATGCTGATAACCATCCTTCTGAAACAAAACTCAGACTTTGGCTTACCATATATAAAAATAAATTCCACGTAGGTTATAAACATTTAAATTAAAAATATCAATTTTAGAAAAAACTAGAAAACTATTTGTATAAACATGTGATGTAGGAGAGCCTTGCCTAAGGGAAGCAAGAAAATCCAAAGCCATAAAGAATTTTTTAAAATTTGTCAATGTATACCATAAACAAAAATCAAGCAACACATATTAATTTGAAGAAAAAGTATTTGTAACACAAATGACAAAAGGTTAATCCTCATTATCAATAAAGAGCCTGACAAATTAATAAAATAAATGTAATCTAATAGAAAAATATGTAAGTCATTGACGTGGAAATTCAAATGACCAGTAAGCACATGAAAGAATGTCAACTTCATTAGTATTTGGGAAAGTGCAAATTAATACAACAGTAAGATAACCATTTTTCATCCATGGAAAAGTTAAAATGGTGAGGATATAGGTAAGCTTTGTGCTCTCATGGGTTGCTGGTGGGAATTTGAATTGATACTTTTTTGGAAAGTAGTTAGGCAATTTGTAGTCCAACTACAGATATGTGTGTGTGTGTGTGTGTGTGTGTGTGTGTGTGTGTGTGTGTGTGTGTGTGTGGCCTTCAGCCTACAATCCTACCTTTGCCAGTTTATCCCATAGATACAAAAGCATATGTGCATGAGGATATTTATTGTAGTATTTGTAGTGACAAACAACTAGAAACAACCTGAGTAGTCATCTATAGGCTAAAGGAATGGTTAAATAAATTGTGATACATCTGTAGCACAGCTTTAAAAATATTAAAGTGTATGTAGTTATGAAAAAGGCATAGAGAGATGACCATGATATACACTAGAAACTGAAAAATAAGTATAGAATGATTCCATTTTATGTTAAAAAAACAACTAAAACCCTTAAATATGACTATATATTTGTATAGGCATGGAGAAAAGTATGGAAGAATACAAATTACAAATAATGTTACAAATACAGTACAAATAACATTAGTTTCTTCAGTGTGGTGGCAGGGAAGAAGAAAAGATGATTAACTTTTTCTTTATCCAGCTTTAGATTGTTTCACTTATTTTAATGGTCATATATCAGTTTGTAACTTTAAACTTATTTTATTTTTAAAAAGAGGCATAACTCTAAGCATCTTAGCTTTTCCACTGTGTTCCCTAGAAGACATTAAAGTATAATACTATGCCCTTTGCCAGTTGTCAAGGATTGGTATTTGAATTAGGTGCTGTTCCTGCCTTTAAAAATGTTTTCTTATTCTAGCCAGAGAGATGGATTTAATAAATACAATAGAAGGTAAATAAAATAGTAAAATAATTTTGCTTTAGGTAAGAAATCAAAACAACATGAATGAGAACAAAGTAAGGCTTTTTAATTAAAATTAAAATGACTAAAAATAGCCAGTAAATCCCCAGATTATCTTTATGCAAAGAGCACTTTGCCTCAAATCAGAGAACTGTGTATTAAGCATCTTTCAAGACAAAGAAATCATGTTTCAGGAAACATAGGGTTGGACACCACCCTGCCAAGGCAGCTGCATGCAACAGATATTATTCTTTGTCCCAGACGAACCTGTCCCACAACTCTTATTTGAGGGAATGTCTTCACAGAGAATCACATAGACTGGGATGTACTGATGGAGCCAAGCAGTATTTGGATATGGGTGGAAACCAGGGCTAAAATGCCCAAGACATGGATGGAGGGATTTGGAGGAACACAGGGATCAGCTGAAGTAGTGAGATGATATTTCCATCTCTCTTTAACACAACTACTACCCATTTAGTCTTAACCTTTTTTTTTTTTTAACCTTTATTATTTATTATGAACACCCTGACCAACTATTAGCCTGATGCTTAACTGGATTACGTCTTATGTCCCTCCTCCCTCTCTGCCTTCCCCTGTCTTTTCTTCTTTTTCCTTTCCTCCCCTTTTCTCTTCTTCCTATCTTTCCTCTCTTCCTTCTTATTTCTTATTTTCTATTAAATTAAACATTAGCCAAATCTTATCACTGTTTAGAGTTACTGATATAATACCATATTCTTTTATTTTTTTAAAACTGATTTTTTTGCTATTACAATTTTTTTTAATTTTTATTTTATATTGGAGTATCATTGCTTATCAGTGTGTTAGGTTCAGGTGTACAGCAAAGTGATTCAGTTATACATATACATATATCTATTCTTTTTCAAATTCTTTTCCCATTTAGGTTATTACAGAATATTGAGCTGAGTTCCCTGTGCTATAACTGATTTTTATTTACTTTTCTAAAAACCTGGACTCAGATGTAAAGAAAAGTACACTGCTGATTCTATTGATCAATGTCATTAAAAGTCCTAAACCCTTATTTTTGTCCATTAGCCAGATGAGATGAGAGTGTTTCTCATTATCTCTTGGAAATTTATATATCTTCTCAAGCTGTGCTTAAATCATGTACAGGTTAACTGCATAGGATTCTGTATAGTTATAATCATTATATTTTGAACTAAAAAATGAATAATAAAGGATTTTTCATCTAAAAAAAAACCCTGATGTTTTTCATATGCTCTATGATTACTTTTACTACCAGGGCTGGTTTAGTATGTTTAAACTTTTTTATTTTATAATAATTTAGATATTAGAAAGGCAGTATAGTGTAGTCATTCTGGGTTTTTATATAGGTTTCGGGGCTTTCCCGGGATCAAATCTTACTACCTTTGTGGCCTTGGACAGCAAGTTACTTCTTTCTCTGGGCCTTAATTTCTCAAATGTAAATGGGAATAATAATCATTGTTGAACAGTTTTATTTTGTTGGTATGGGATTAAATAGATTAACTCATGTGTAGTGGGATTAAATAGATTAACTCATGTGTACAACAGTTCCTGACACCTAGTAATTACTTAATAAATACTGCATTTGCTATATTTTTCTTTTTTTAAAAAAATAAATTTATTTATTTTGGGCTGCATTGGGTCTTCGTTGCTGCATGTGGGCTTTTTCTAGTTGCAGTGAGTGGGGCCTACTCTTCGTTGTGGTGCACAGTCTTCTCATTGCAGTGGCTTCTCTTGTTGCAGAGCATAGGCTCTAGGCACTCGGGCTTCAGTAGTTGTGGCACGTGGGCTCAGTTGCTCCGCAGCATGTGGGATCTTCCTGGACCAGGGCTCGAACCCGTGTCCCCTGCATTGGCAGGCGGATTCTTAACCACTGCACCACCAGGGAAGTCCTGCATTTGCTATTAAATTACAGTTAATCAATTTAGCAAACATTGATTAAATACCCACCGGGTAGCAGATTTTATCCTAAGGGATGGGATTAGGTATACTTATTGATCATCTACTATTGGCCAGGCATGGAGACTGTAGTAGTGAATTAAAAAAAGTCCTGGGAACTTCCCTGGTGGGGCAATGGTTAGGAATCGGACTGCCAATGCAGAGGACACAGGCTCAAGCCCTGGTCCGGGAAGATCCCACATGCTGCGGAGCAACTGAGCCCACATACCACAGCTACTGAGTCTGTGCTCTAGAGCCCGCGAGCCACAACTACTGAAGCCCACACGCCTAGAGCCCGAGCTCTGCAACAGAAGAAGCCACCGCAATGAGAAACCTGTGAAGCCACCGCAATGAGAAGCCCATGCACCACAACGAAGAGTAGCCCCTGATGGCCGCAACTAGAGAAAGACGGCACGCAGCAACAAAGACCCAATGCAGCCAAAAATAAACAAATTAAAAAAAAAAAGTCCTTATCCTCTTAGTGTTTATAATACTATTAATGATCATTATTTATTAAAGGCATTATTTATTTGAGGCTGAATTTAAAATGTGATTGACTTTTAATGTTTTTGTTTGTTTAACTTTTAAATCTAGGATATCTTGTATTATGAGCAGCTTAAGACTAATGTGATACAACATGACCTTTTGGTGGACAGTTTAATTTATAAAGTAAGTAAAAGTATACATAGTTTTTCCATTTCATTAATATCATTAAGCAATTATTGAGTCTTCAACATGTAGGGACTGCACTATGCATGATGATACGTATTAAACTTGAAAAATAATTTTAAGTGATCATTATACTTACAAAGTTAAGTTTGACCTTCAAAATTTGCAGTTTCTATTCAATGTTATCCTCCTTCCCTTTGAAACTGTCCTCATAATCCTTTCCTGACCCTCCCATTTATTGATTAAGAGAATGATAAGCATTTCCTGTCCTTATAAATTCAAGTTTTCCACACAAACTACATAAAAAGAAACTAAAAGGAAAATGAGATTATGGATTTTTTAATCTTATTTGTCTCACAGTCTTTAGGGCCTGCTTATTTATTTTATTATTTTGAAGTCATGTTTTATTTTTAATTTCTTTTAGTTTCTAGACATATAGTTAAGCACATCTCAAGTTTTATGATAAGGATTCATTGAGTTTTTGTTTCCAGGCATCTGATATTGAGACGAGATGCAGATGCTGAAAACGTGGTATAGGATATGACTGATTCTGGATTAATAATTGGGTTGTTTAAAAGACTTGGATTTTAGATTTAGAACTTGTAAGATAGAGGAGAAGGGCATATTATTCCAGATCTCAGAAACAGGGGAGAGAAGAACCTAAAAATTTGTCTGGGTAAAACATAACCAAAGTTAATTATAACAGTGACTACTAGCATTTAATGATTGTTCACTATGTGCCATACATTGTTCCAAACTCTTTACATAGATTGTCATCTGATCCTGTTAGCTACCTTGGGTGGTAGATACCAGCATTTGGGCTGTAAATGATAAATGCATTTTTTCCTGGAAAAAACTTGCATTCTGCAAAATCATGCATTAAAAATAAGAGCTTATAGGAAAAATAGCACTTTTGTAACTAAAATGCTAACAGAAACAATAATTGGGAGATGAATTGGACAACTCAGGCAGGCTGCTCCTGCAGGAGTTATTAAAAATGTACAAAAATAATAAAGTGTAAATGCTAAAGTAATGCAGATGGAAGTGGTGCTGCTGTTCAGGTGGGCACAAGAGGAAGTGCAGAAGCTAAGAGATGTGCAAGGCTGGGGGTGTGCCTCTCTGGAGAGGGGGCCCCCCGTGCAATCATTCATTTTCCATTCTCTTGAAATACAGTTATAAGGGCTCATGCCTGTGGAAGACTTTGTCCTTTCCTGCTG